ATTTCTGTCTCCATCCTCGTCCCCGTAGGGGCGGGGAATCGGGTTCCCCGTCGGGTGCGGGTTCAATTGACATCCCTACCGACGCCCCTCATTGGTCTTCTAGTGAACCTCTGGGTTTATTGAACCTTTCGGGTTGACCATTCGAGAACCTGTTCGGTTGTCTTCTTGAGTAGTTACCCTTCAAGTAGTTATTAGGTCTACCTCTAGGAGACTTACTCTTCGTTGACTGACTTTTAGTATGTTGACTTTTTAGTTTGCTACTACTTGGTCTGTTCCGTATAGTACTTCAATTACTCTTCTGAGGTTCCGAAACCTTTCGAGTAGTCAGACCATTTGGTTGACTGTTCGTTTGTGGCGCTTTTCTTTTATCAACTACTTCTCGAGGTTCAGCCACACTGTCTTAACATTTAACAAAAACAGACTTTAAGCCTCCATTGGTTGAAGGATCTGTTAGTTTGGTCAATTTTAGATGTGAGGTAGAGCTGGGATCAAAGCCAGGACTTGCTTTGTCTCCAAATGGTTTTTGCACACTTAACATTTTACACATCATTTTGGATGAATTAGTAAAAGTGGCTATGACCTCACGTAATTTATGATCTCGCACTTCTCTTGCTTTACATTCATCCTTAAGTTGGATAATTTGTGTCTCGAATTGGCTGAGTTTGAGAATCACTTTAGATATTTTGACAATGATACTTTTGAAACTCTCACGTTCAGCCATGAGTTTGATCATTTTCCTCCTTAAGTTTGAATTGAGCATTTTTCACATTTTAAAAATCCTTCATCAGTTTAAGAACTGAATCTATAGGATCCTCACATAAACTAGAATTAGAACTGTATTAAGGTGAGGATTGAGAATTTACCTCATTTTCGTTAGCCATCAAGCATAGCTCTTCATCTAATTGTTCTCCAGCAAATAGGCAAATAAGTCATTTCTCATCACCCGAGCCTAAGCATCACTCGAGTTGGATGATTTTGACTATTCTGGCTCATCCGATATGAGTGCCTTTGTTTGATGCTCACTTGTCGAGTTACTTTTCGGATGACTCCTCAACGATTTACCACTCATTTCTCCAGGATTGTTCCTTGAGTTTGGTCTCCTGCAATTGTAGTATATGCTTTGATACTTCTCGATTCCTTGACTTCTTGAACCAGGTGCTCTCTCATGTGACCTCTCAGAAGATCTTTTCGTTGATGATGATGGATTGGCTTGATTGTTTTGAGAGTTGGTTTTCCTCATGAATCTTTTGAATTTCCTAACAAACAAGGCAAACTGTTCATCAGATAAATTTTCACTAGGGTTAAAGTTTGACCTTGATGAAGTTGTTGGCTAGTTGGCAATTAAGGTGGTGCTCTTTGGTTCGGTTGACTCTTCGTCACTCCTCAAGCACATCTCGAACTCGTAAGCCTTGAGGTCTCGGAATACTTGGACTGTAGGCACACTATTGAGATCCCTGTGATATCTCCTTGCGATCACCTTCATATTCCATGCTTTGGGAAGTTCTCGCAAGATCTTCAGATTGATCTCCTTTTGACCAAGATCTTTTTCAAGATTAGCATTATCACTAAAAAGCTTCATGAATCTCGACCCCATCTCGGTTCCATTGGCCATTTTGAAGTCATTGAATTTCTTCATTGCCATAGTCAGCTTGTTGTTTTTCTCTTTTTCATCTCCTTCACCTATTTGGAGAAGAATAATTCATATCTCCTTTGCCGATTTAAGCTTCCTAATCCTAGGAAATAGTATCTCATCCACAACTTTGAAGAGAATGTCATTCGCAATATTGTCAATGTTGTTTCTCTTTCTATCTTTGTTTGTCCATTCTTGACAGGGTTTTTCAAGGTATCTCGGCTGGTTTTGATTTAATGCATGTGTTGTATTGACCATCCAAATCTTCACTGGTCTGTTCATTATTACCTCCCATATTTCGTCATAGAGCTGAAAGATGTGGTTGCATGCGAATTTTCCAATCGTCAAAGCTATCCAAGCTAAACATTAGATGTTTAGAAATTGAACATTCCATTATAAAAAATATTGTTCTTAATAAAATAATTTTTGCCTTTCAAAATGAGGTCACTAGGCAGTATACACAGTATTTACCATTCAAGGTATTTACTCTGATACCACTTGTTGGTCTTGAAGGGTTGTGTTAAAAGTCCAGGGGGGGGTGGGGGAGGGGGGGAGGGGGTTGAATAGACTTGTATAAATTTAAAAATTCTTTACTGTTAGAAATTAAAAACTTAAGATGAACTTAAGCTTGAATAACTATTAGCAAAGATTTTGCAGCGGAAAAATGTGAACCCTTTTTAGTATTTAAGCACAATTTGTTCTTGACAAATTTTTGGTTTGATTGTTTAGATAATAATATCAGGGCAATACAATAACGATATATATATATATATATATATATATATATATATATATATATATATATATATATATATATTAGTGGTTCGGCTATCAATAAGCCTACTCCACTCTTCTCTAAAAACTCATTAGAGGATTGCAGTAAACACCTTAGTATAAAAAGAAACCACTTAAGCCTTGAACACAAAGTCGGCCTTAAGCGTCTAGGTTTTTCACAAGCCTCAACTTGTTACTCCGCCTTTTTCTACTTCTACAGAGTAGAGATACAGTGGTTTTCTACACAAAGTTGTTGAATCTCCAACACGTAGACTTGGCTCTTGAATCTTGTCTTTGATCTTCACTATTCGTCAGCCAAAGTCTCAACTGTATATAGCTTTGTAGCTTAATTTCTCTCTCACTAGTCACTTGATTTCTAGCTAGCATTTGAAAGCTATGAACACTCGTATATTTTTCCCTTGAAAGACCAGCACTTTCTTCAATCTTGATTGAAGGAATTTATAGGACAATTTGAAATAAATCCGTTGGAGGGAGATGGATTTCAAATGTTTCTTATCCTTTGGGTAATGACCAGTGAATAATTTGAAAGGTTACTTTTGCGTCAAATTTTCTAGCCATTGTCTAGATTTTTACGGAAAACCTACATTAAAAAGTGTATCGATGATCTCTTTTTAATATAATGTTAGTTCATGTTTACAATACTCTATGTGTGTGTGTGTGTGATTAACTTGTTACTTTTAGGTAACAAGTAAAAAATTACTTCTTTTTTTTTTATATATAAATTTTAAAATAAATTAAAATTAAAAAATATGTTTTAATTCAAATACATTAAATAATTTTTTAAAATTATCAAAATTTGGTTTTTTCCTCCAGTTGGAACGATTTCCTGACCAAGGCTTCTCTGTCTTTGATTTTTTTTTAAAAAAAATTATTTTTAAATTATTAAAACAAATTATCTACTATTTATCAAGTTAATAGGAATATACTTTTCTTTGTCAAAAAAAAAAAAAAAAAAAAAAAAAGGGTCAAATAGGCCCCTAAACATTTCGCTAAAGGTCAATTAACCCCACAAACTTTTGAAAAGGTCAATTGAACACATGAAGACATAATTTTGAGTCACTTGGCCCCATTTTGAGTCACTTGAAAAATTGTTGCCCATTCTCTCGTGATACACATAGTGGTGATTTCAACCCACAATTGGAATACAATGGTGGTTCATACTGTAGATTTGGTCTTGCCTTTGAGGGAGACGAAAATGGTGAACCACTCCAACCTGATGATGTCATCTCCAATGGTGAAATGTGAAGTAGAAGCCTACGTGGCGGTTAATTGACCTTTAGCGAAATGTTTAGGGGGCTATTTGACCCTTTTCTCTTAAAAAAATAAAATGTCTAATTAGAACCTTTTTTTTTTAAAAAAGAATAAGAACTTAATGCATTAAATCAAAGAGGATACAATCAACCAAATAAGGAGGAGGGTCATCAAACCGCTCCCCGCAAACTGACACAGAAACGGCTTCCCGAGAAACAATGTGGGCAGCACGATTCGCAGATCGCTTAACAAAACGGAAGTAGACACCATGTATAATGGATGCCACTTCTTTAACATCATCTACAACTAAACCAAAAGCAGAATAAAACGAGTTTGAATGTAATGCATAATAAACCAACTGGGAATCTATTTCTACATCACATCTCCCATCCCAGTGTCCTTTAACCAGCTTAGAGCCTCACGGATATAGACCGCCTCCGCTACTTCAACAGTGTACTACTCTGGTATAGTTAGGCCCTTGGCAACCAAAAAGAGACCACCATGATCCTGTAAAATCCAACCCATTCCCATCGAGTTGCCATTTGCACCAAAAGTCGCATCCTTATTTAGCTTTAGTCGGCCTATGGAAGGGACACTCCAGCGAGCAACAGCTTCACCGCCGTGATTAACACCAAGCTTTGGTTGTTCATACGTCGCCCTCCAATTCTTCCAAAACATAACCGTTGAGTCCACCATAGATTTGGAGTCAAAGGCTTTGGCATTCCATACGCTGTTGTTTATGCTATTCCACACCCCCCCCCCCCCCCCCCAACATATCATCACAAACAGACACCTTAATTTTATTATTGGTCCTAGATTTATGGGTGACAATATATTTTTAGTTCCTTTTTATTGGAACATCCCATTTAGTTATAATATTATTGTGTCATGTCCATTTTCAGTTCTCATCGAACAAAATTGTTAAAGGTCGTTAAATATAAAAATTAATGGAGTTGAGGTAATAGACTATTACTAGAAATACTATTCCTGGTAATAGACATTGTTACCAAATATTGTTACCCAGCCTATTCCGTGAACCAAACGGACCATAACGGAAAATGAGGTTATTTAAAAGAATAGTTAATAATAATTAAAGGTAAGATAGAGAAATTATCTAAAAATATTTAATCAGAAATAGTATGAACCATTTGTTTGAAAATAATTACACAATATTTTTTAGTTTTCGTTAATGACTTAACTTTATTGGCTCTTAATAATTAAATTTGTATAGATATAGATTTGTAAATATTTTATTGCATATCATTTTCTATCCTTTTCTGGCCTCTATAAATTTCTCTTTTCTGTACGATTGAAGAAGCACTTAGATAGTTATATACGGCTAGCAAACATTACTCCACGGAGCATAATTTTGCATACTTCGTACTTATATTTTGCATTCGTCAATCGTCGGCGATGGAGAATAAAGTGATAGCCTCCGCTGATCGGCCTACTGTGATGGTAACGAACGACGACGGAATCGATGCTCCTGGCTTGAGAGCTCTCGTTCGTGTCCTTATATCCACCAATCGCTTCAATGTCCTTGTTTGCGCTCCTGACTCGTACATACTCTCTCTGTCTGTATACGTGTGTTCTATGATTGTGAGTCAGAGTGGCATACAATTTTGAAACTGGAAAATTTTTACTGTGATTCCGTGCTGAATTTTGTAGGGGAGTACGAGTTTTGCTTTGATATTAGTTTCCGTTGTTGTTTTTTACTTTACTTTTTAATTTTTTTTTAATACTAATCTTTGTTGATGTGCTGATGCTTCAGTTCTGTTTGCCAATTGTACGGAATTAGTGAAATTAATAGTTAAAATGCTTAAAAGAATGAAATTAGTGAAACTGAGATATGAAGAATCGTAATATTACACTCGTTTTTATAGTGACTTTTTTTTCACAGAAGAATAGAAATTAATTGATTCTTTGTGATTTGAGTTAATACCAGGTCTTCGAGTCTATTGGTTTTGCCATGTTTAATCCTAAACTTTCAATAAACTTTCAAATTGACCATTTGTGGTCCTTCGATTTTCAAATTTAACCATTCGTGATCCAAGTTAACCACCCATGGTTCTTTAAGTTTTGAAATTTAATCCGTCGTGGTCCTTTTGAAAGGACCATGGTTCGTTAAAATTTAATAGTTGAAGGATCATGGGTGATTAACTTGGACTACAAATGGTTAAATTTGAAAGTCGAAGGACCACAGATGGTCAATTTGAAAGTTTAGGATTAAACGTGGCTACTCAGAGGACCGTATTAACTCTTTTTTATATAAACTTTTTTTTTGGTTTTTGTTTTTGTAATTCTGTTAGATTATTGATACTATATACGGAGTATTAAACAATTTGCTTTCTATATTTCAACTTCTGTGAGAGTCATCATAAGCCATCGGAGTATTAAACAATTTGCTTTCTATATTTCAACTTCTGTGAGAGTAATCATAAGCCATCATCATATGTTTTACAAAATGGAAGCTATATCTTTTTATTCATTTCTTAAGTTTTTCTAGAAGTTGGTTACATCTATTGGTGTTAAGTTAGTGCAAGTTCTTATTTTCTAAACGATCTTTTCACATTTTCATATTGGTGTTGTAGGTGAATCTGGTTAAGGACTTATATGCCACTTCTGGAAAATTAAAAAAGGAATTGTGAATGAAAATGTACACATAGAAAGATGCTTTGTATTCTTTATGCAGTTCCTCTAAGAATTATGATAATACGTCCATAGAGAAAAGGATGAAGCTTTTAATTTTAAGAAAAGATGGATGTGTGCCATGTGTCTAAATGCTTCTCTGCAGTGACATAGAGTGCATGCCTTTTAGTGACTTGTTTGCCTTACCTTAAGTGTTTTCCTATTCTGGATACTGGATAAAGTGAATTTTGAACCTTTACAGAGCAGCAGATTATGATAACGTCATAACGTGTGACTCCCTTTTTTGTTATACCAAGGATCTTTTCAATGGAACATGTTTCTATGATTGTACTTGTTTTGCTATTTTCTCAGGGAAAAGTCAGCTGTTAGTAATAGCATTACATGGCGTAATGCTCTCCCTGTTAAACGAGTGGATATTAGTGGTGCAACAGCCTTTGCGGTTGGTGGTTAGTGCAAATCTCCGTAAATCACTTGATTTCTTTTCCTTTCTAATTATAATATTATATACACAGAAACCATACGATCATTTATATTATATTGCGTACTTTAGTATAGCATTCTGTCCTTTGTTTAAAAGGAAAAGTTTTCATGTGTGATGGACACTCAAGAAATGCTAAACACTGACTTTCAGTTTTGGAGTTGCATAACAACCTTTGCTGCGAATATATTCTAAATTTCATGGTGTAACATTGTCTAGACCCCTACCTTTTATTTATTTTATTTTTTAATTTTAATATTACAGGAACTCCAGCTGATTGCACTTCCTTGGGAATCTCTAAAGCTCTCTTCTCTTCAGTTCCTGATCTGGTATTTATTTCACCAGGAGCATTTATTCTCCAAAACCTGATCTGCCTTTTTGGTTTTATAAGAATGGAAAATCATATTAATTTTCTTGTAGAACTACTATTTCCCTTTCTTTTGGATCTTTTTCTCCTTAATGTTGACGCATCTTGAAGTCAAAGAGTTCTATGCATTAATCCACTATGTGTGTGTGTGTGTGGTTTTTTTTTTTTTTTGGTTTGTTTTTTATTCCAGTTCACTGTTTAGGGTGACATTTTATCTCTTATTATATTTCTTTTGTGCTGACCTTGTTTTGTTTTTAAGTTTGTGTGGCTCTAGAGCATTGCCTATACCTTTCTTACATTTTATGAACTTATTGCAATTTTTTATGATTTCAGGTTATCAGTGGTATTAATATGGGCAGCAATTGTGGCTATCACATGTTAGTATTGTTCATTTCATCCAATGTATAAATCCTCAATGATGAGGTGTCCCATTACTACATGCTTGTTCCAAATTTCATGGTTTCACTGACTATTGCCTGTTGGACATAGTAGTTAGTGTGAATTGTAATTTTGAACATATTCTCATTTTTAAGTATTCATTTGTCATTGCTTTCCACTGTATTTGTGTAGCCTAAGGGCCACCACGCATCCATGCATTATGCTTGTTGGTTACAGTAGATCCCTTATCATGAGGAGACTCAATATGTTTTTCTTGGTGTCTAAAATGATATTTCAGTGATAGTAAGCACAATTTCCATCTAACATAGAGGGTTATTACTCCCATTTCTTGATTATTGATTTGTTTTCTTCATTATTTTGAAATGCAGTGTATACTCAGGGACAGTTGCTGGTGCCCGAGAGGCTTTCTTCAACAACATTCCTTCTGTTTCTTTATCATATGACTGGTTCGCACAATGCACATTCATTTAGCTGAAACTTATCTTCACTCATGCCAATAAGTGTGAATTCAATGATGCATGATTCTGTTTGTGTGCATATGTGTAACATTTAATTGGGTAAAAGCAGCAGAACAAATTAAACTGCCTTCATGTTCCTAGAGCTTATGAGAACTCTGTTAATGAATATCATACTATACAATCAACTTTAGATGTTCTTTGCTAAGTCTCATTCAGACTTCTTCTTGATAATTAGGACAGTTTTGTTCATATATTGCATTAGTAAGTATTGCAAAGATACTGTTTTCCTGCTGGTCAAACATTGGAAGGTTTTGTCTTGCCATATTGTGATAGGAATCCCTACCTTCAGAGAGATTTTGTTACGTTATCTGTTATCTAACTACAATAGCTCAGCTTATCAAAATAACAACTAACAACAACAACAACATATGGTATAATGTCAAAATGAACTTCCATTGATTATAAATTAGCTTTGGAACTGTTCTATGAATATTTTCCTCCATGCTGATAATTTTCATTTACTATGTCCCACATTATTTTCCATAAATGCAATTAAACAAAAAATTCAGCATATTTGTTCATTTCTTCATTTATCTTCTTTTCCCAAATACTGCCTACTAAACCACTGAGCTAAGCCCATGCGGACCATTTCTTCATTTATTTGTTTATATTGCTGATAGGGTTGGTGGAAAGGGCAATGTTGATGACTTCACACTAGCTGCCGAAGCTTGCATACCCATCATTAGTGCAATAGTGGCTGAAATCAAGAGTAAAACTTATCCAGTAAATTGTTTTCTGAATGTAGATGTTCCAACAGATGTTCTCAATCACAAGGTAAGTTGGAGATGTGATTATAATCCTTGTTGCTTTTTAGATGTGAAATTGCTATAATAATGGATAGAGATATTGTCAAATGTAGGAACCGTTTCTGCTCCTGCTAGAACTTTCCATCTGACTGCATTTTTTTTTTTCCAAAGTCACTAGTCAAATGACCATATGGTCATTTAACAAAATACTACAGTAAAAAACAACTAAATAAAGCAACTGAAAAAACCAAAAGTAAAAGAAACTGTTTGAAAAATGTAACTTTAGATATTAGGTCTATTCATGAGTATCGGAGAAAGAAACCGACTTTGCCATCATTTGCCTCTCCAGGCCAAGCAATGGAGGTTCATATTTTTATCATTTCCTCAATCTGCAATAAATAAAAAGCAATTACATCTTGACCCTAGTTTGAAAGAATCATTTGTATTGATCTCGCCTGTGTTCAAATTCAAATATTACAAGTATAGGCTTCTTTGTGAGTATGATTACTATAAGCCATGGTGTACATAGCAGTGTACTGCATGTCATATTAATCATGATTATAGATAATGAGCGTTACAAATGGGAAAACTTTCTGCTTGAGTAGTTGAGTCCAAGAATTACTTCTTCATATCTATTTCCTAATCACATTATTCACACATGTATATTGTGATATTAACAGTAAATGAATAGAATGCTCATGTATCTATAATCGAATACATTAAAAATTGTGGATGTTCACATAAGTAAAATTTAGCATGAGTTTTGAATAGGCTTTCAAATGATTTTTTATGATATCTTTGTATAAATAGTTGTTTATATGATGTCTAATTGAAATTCAAACGTAAGTGTTGATACTCATATAGGTACATAATAATATTCAGATAGATATATGTTGATATTCATATGCACTAAGTAAAATATTTGCATAGCTGCATCTAGAACTTAATGTAGTTGCTTATATAAGAATATTCATGCTAATACACACAGGGACGGAGCCAAAGGGTGGGGGGGGGCAGCTGCCCCCCTTCACCCCACCCCCACCCCATATATAGTCTTTGTATGTATATATGTATATATAGTACAAGTTTTAGTGTTAGTATAAAAAAATTATAAAATATAAACAAGGAGTGTGTTAGATTAGGTGGTAGAGCATATATTTGGCAATAGTGAGGTCAAGGGTTCAAATCTTGGCATCACTCATTCCCCTATGACTTCAACACAGTCACTTACACACACTCAGAGATATATATAAAGTTACAACAACTATATTTCTTAGGTAATTTATTTATTTTTAAATTATCTCTTTTGTTTTAAGATATATATAAAGTTACAACTATATTTCTTAGGTAATTTATTTATTTATTTTTAAATTATCTCTTTTGTTTTAAGATATATATAAAGTTACAACTATATTTCTTAGGTAATTTATTTATTTATTTTTAAATTATCTCTTTTTAAATTATCTCTTTTGTTTTAATGTTTCGCCTTTACAACTATATTTCTTAGGTAATTTATTTATTTTTAAATTATCTCTTTTGTTTTAAGATATATATAAAGTTACAACTATATTTCTTAGGTAATTTATTTATTTATTTTTAAATTATCTCTTTTGTTTTAATGTTTCGCCTTTACTGGAAAAATTTTCTGAATCCGTCTGTACTGTTTCGCCCCCCCCCCCCCCCCCCCCGCCCCCCTCTCAACCGAATTTTTGGCTGTCCCTGAATACACATTATGCTGACATGCACCCAAGTAAAATATCTATGTAACTACACTCCGTATTCAAAATAATTGCTGATGTTTAATTAACTATATAGAATATTCATGCAAAAGTGTGGTGATGTTCACACTCACTATGTAGAAGGAAAGAATGCCAGAAAAAATGACATGGCATGGTACGAAGCTGCTGCTTACCAAAAGGTTTTTCAATGTGTATTTAGTTTACCAAGTCTTTGCAGGGAGCCAGGGATTGTCACTTTCTAAATGAGCTTCTTGAGTTTGTGGTAGTTTTTATTATCACTTATCCACTGGCAGGATTGTCTATCCATTCAGCAGATTGCTATATCTTTGTGAGAATCATTTGTTGAAATCTTTGAAATCCCATGAGACAACCTCTGTAGTCTTTAGCTTATTGTATAACGAAATCAAAATATGACGTTTGCCAAAATGTTCATGATGGCCCATTCAGCAGATTGCTATATCTTTGTGAGAATCATTAGTTGAAATCTTCGAAATCACATGAGGCAACCTCTGCAGTCTTTAGCTTATTGTATAACGAAATCTAAATATGACGCTTGCCAAAATGTTCATGATGGCCCTTTTAGGGTTATCGGCTTACCAAGCAAGGCAAAAGTTTTGTCAAAACGGGATGGGTGGAAGTTGCTCCTGGAACACAAGGTAGGAAAATGCTATCCACCATGACTATGGAGCAGAATTCATCAGAAACTGTAGAACCAAGTGATTTGAGCACTCAACGTGAACATCTTTTATTCAAGAGAGAAGTGAGATTCCTTTTCCTCTATTGCTTGTGGTTCATTCATTGAAGCTCTCAATCATTTTGTTTTGCTTTGTTTTTGTTTTATGTTTTTTTTTTTTAAAAAAAAAATTAAATACATTTTGTTTTTATGATATTTCTGACATTCTCTTTTCTAAGAAATGCTTTATTACTGATGCACATAGCTAATTATCCTGTCTTTTTTGTAAGTCTGAATTTGGTGGGGATAACAGGTTAATGACCTAAATACTTGAGTATATTATTCTAGAAAGTAGATGAGATCAGATCAAACTTGTTTTTCAAAGCTGGTGTGTGGTTTAAATTAATATAACCTAGAAATTGATGCATAAAGTGAGATTTATTATAGACTATGACATGAATTTTGTGGGAGATGAGAAGTGTTGGAGAAATGTCAAGGGGATACGGACAAAGGATTTTGATCCTTTCAGATTCCTCTAATTTTTATGTTATATTTTCCTTCTTTAGCTATACTCATAACCTTCATCATCAAGATGATTTATGTAGTCTGTCTTTAGTACTTTGGGTTACTGGATCTAGTTAAATTTCAAGGGGGAAAAGTGAGGATAGAATTGACTGTGCCTTTTGAACATCACTTCTTCTCGTGGAGGCTAATTTTTTATACTTATAATTCTGTTGATCTTCAGGTCAGGGCGGCACAAGTTGACAATGGTGATACAGACTATTATTATCTTCAAGAAGGATATGTATGTAATACATGTTTATGTGATAGTGTGGTACAAGTTATTTGGCGAGGGAGTTTTTATGTTAACATCTAACTCATCTTTTATTACAGATAACTGTTACTCCCCTTGGCGCTTTATCTAATGCTGATGCAGATGGCGTGGAATTCTTCAAAGAATGGTTGGCAAGTGTGAGTGAACAAATTTCTTCTAAACTTTAATATGTAAGTTACTTTGAGTAGGGAAGCAATTTATCAATAAGAAGAAAAAGAAAAAAGAAAAAAAGGAAAATCTACTTAATTAGGATTCTTTTTGCTTGAGGATTATATCATCATATTAATTCTGTTTAATTAAAATATTTTTTTCTTGTTTGCGAATGATTTCTATTAGAGCTATGCTTTTCTTGAGGAGCTCGAATTTTTTTGCATGTACAAAAGTTGACCTGAAATTGGAAATAATGTTTCATCTTTACATGCATGTTTGGGTTAATAAAATGCATTCTCACACCTGAACTTAAGAGAGTAATTTACAAACCACGGAACTTTAGAACTTTTGTTCTCAATCTCTACTAAAAGTTATTTTAAAGACTATATTTCTATCTCTACATGAATACATGCGAAATACATCAAACCATGCTTTCGTACATTTGTAGTTTTGTACGCAACTTGCGCCATCTAACCCATCCAGCATCTCTGTTATTTGTCTTCCAATATATATGGTAGTTTGTCTTTTGTGTTTCTAATTCCAGAACATAATGAATCACACTAATTTGACCTTAATTAGAGGGTGCGAACACAGATATCTTGTGGGTTGATAATGTTATCTATCCAACAAATAGTCAAGCATGACAAAGATATTTCTCAAAGAATGTCAAAAAGGATGTGAAATTATAAAACAAGTTAAGAGGATCATAGGCCTACCCTTGATGTTGGTGGTTTTCTAACAGATTTAGTTTCAGCCACTATCCTCTCATTAGGATAACTTTTTAGAATTACTCGTCCCTGCACGAACTCCTGATACTTGTAGAGTTGTAGGCTTGTAGCATCATCTATTTTACATAGTTTAATCATTTAATTTGCTGCATCCTTCTTAATTCTCCGTATGAGACATAATTGTAATTTTGTTCTTCATGATTTTATTTTCTTATGTTATGTGATTTAAACCTTGTTTTGTATCTTGGATAGGATTATTCTTTGTGTTGTGCTTACCCTTTCCTTTCTCCACTTCTAGCACAATCTAGTGTTCTCTTGTGATTTGATATCCCAACTTTGTGGAGACAAGATAAGATGGTTGACCTTGCGCTTCAATCTCTTTCAGGTTAAGAGCTCCCCCAACTAGATATATGGCAGTTAAAGCCACATACTATGTGCCCAGAACTGGAATAAATACATTGAGTGCCACTTCATATGTGGTATCATTCTTTACTTAGTTATCAAAAGCATGTTTTGTAATGACCTTAGTGTTTTAGTTGGAAGGAACATAAAAACATAAATTGCGTGTATTTGAGGATATTTATTAGTTGTGTGGTTTCTATCGCGTTCTGCGCTTGTTAACAATACCATATCATGCTATATTTGAGGGTATATATGTTTGGTGTTATGGCAGCTATCTCGTTCGTAGGGAAGTGTTAGTTGGGGAGGTTGGAATCTGAACATTAGAATAAATAAGGTGTTGAAATGTTTGTGTATACTTATGTGATTACAGGAGTCTATTACTTGGGTGGGCAAATGTCTCTAGTAAGTTGTTGCCGCCTTGCCTGCTTGCGATTTACCCATGTTGCATATCTTTTTTGTTTTTATTTTTATTTTTTTATTTGGGTGACGAGGGAAGCCCATAGTCATTATCTAGGGGTGTGTAGGTTATCCATAGCTGACTAATTCAAACTAAAATGGCCAATTGGTCGCTTTTATTGAGAGTCGAACTTGAAATCTTGTGGTTATCGTATCTTTCTTTTTCATTTAATACTTGGGTAGCCTCACAAGTGCAAATTATATCGTGAACGAGGGTTCACTGTGCATTGTGGACTTTGGTCCGAAATGACATCGTTTTAATTAAATCAATTTTTTTTTCTTTGGTTAACACTCACATTTGCATTAAGTACATAGGTACATAATATGTTTATTATAAGTATATAAACATAAATTAATAAGTACATAATAGGTTAACTATAAATGTATTATGTCAAGTAATTTTAATCTTATTTTGACTTTATAATATGTAAATGTAGGTGAATAAACATAAACTTAGAGGTTCATAAACTGAGTATATAAACAACTTATGAAGTTAATGTATTGAGTTTATGAACATGTAGGCATTTCGTTTATGTAGTTTTTACACTTAGGGTGTGTTTGGTTCGCACATAGGAATTGGAATCGGAATAGGTATCAAATACTTGGTAATGGTAATGGGTTTTGGTGAAAGTATTTAACATGTTTGGTAGTAGGGTGGAATGAGAATGGTTACTAATAGTAGTGCTTGAGAATGAATAAAGGAATGAAACCCTTATTGTATTTGGGTATGGATTTTTCAATTGATAGGGTATTCGAAACCCATAGTAGTATTCTAAAAACCTATAAACCAAACAACAACAATCACTTTCATACCCATTCCTATGGACAAAACCCACCAACCAAACACACCCTTATTGTTTTAGTTGGAAGGAAGATAAATATAAAAACATAAATTGCGTGTATTTGAGGATATTTATTAGTTGTATGGTTTCTGTCGCGTTCTGCGATTGTTAACAATGCCATATCATGCTATATTTGAGGGTATATATGTTTGGTGTTATGGCAGCTATCGCGTTCGTAGGGAAGTGTTGCCGCCTTGCCTGCTTGCGATTTACCCATGTTGCATATCTTTTTTGTTTTTATTTTTTTTATTTGGGTGACGATGGAAGCAACAGTCATTATTCAGGGATGTGTAGGTTACACATAGTTAACTAATTCAAACTAAAAAGATTTATTGGTCACTCCTGTTGTCGAACTTGAAATATTGTAGTTATTATATGGGAAAATGACATTTTTTCCCCCTGTGTTGTTTACATATAGCATATTTCCCCCCTGTGTTGTTTATGTAACCACTTTATTCCCCTTAATTGTTTTTGAAGTGGCTATTTTTTCCCCTCTCCGTTAAATAAGTGTTAGGGCTGTTAAATATAAGGGTAAAAATGACATTTCACTTCTTATTATTATTATTATTATTATTATTATTATTATTATTATTATTATTATTATTATTATTATTATTATTATTATTATGTGCTTAAATCATATTTTGTTTTTTTTTTTTTTATGATAGTGCTTATTTTCTCTGTCTCATCTTACTTATCTTATTTATAATTTATTAATTAATTTAACTCTTTTTTAGTTACTTCTTTAATTTTTTAAATTGTTAAATTATTTTTTTTGTGTTTAATAATATTTTTAATAATTTAAAAATAAAAAATTTAAATTATACGGAGTATTAATTTAAAGAAATGTTAACATAGTTTATTATATTTTAATAATAATAATAATAAGTGAAATGTCATTTTTACCCTTATATTTAACAACCCTAACACTTATTTAATGGAGAGGGGAGAAAATAGCCACTTCAAAAACAATTGAGGGGGATAAAGTGGTTACATAAACAACACGGGGGGGAAATATACTATATGTAAACAACACAGGGGGAAAAAGTGCCATTTTCCCTTATTATATTTTCTTTTTCCATTTAATACTTGAGTAGCTTAACAAGTGCGAATTATATCATGAACAATGGTTCATTGTGCATTGTGGACTTTGGTCCAGAATGACATCGTTTTCTTTAAATCGACTTTTTTTTTTTTTTGTTAACACTCACATTTGCATTAGGTGCATAGGTAGATAATATGTTTACTATAAGTATACAAACATAAATTAATAAGTACATAATAGGTTAACTATAAATGTATTATGTCGAGTAAATTTAATCTTGTTTTGACTTTATAATATGTAAATGTAGGTAAATAACATAAACTTAGAGGTTCATAAATTGAGGAGAAAATTTCAATTTTGGTCACACGATTATAGGGGTTTTGTTAATTTTAGTACTTCATTTTTAAAAGTGTCAATTTAGTACCTTGAGTATGTAATTTTTGTCAATTTTGGTCACTATGGCCAACTTGCTGGCCAAATTTGGTCGAAAATATTTAATCTAACATTTAGTCTAAAATCTGAGGGGCAAAGTAGTCTTTTCTATCCTTTCTTCTAATTGGTGTTGACCGAATTAAGTTGTTGACCCGGTACAGAATGACCATTTTAGCAATCCAGAGGCAAGATGGTGCCATAGAAGCGGTCTTTAGCAACCTTCTGTAGGTCGTCTTCGACCATAATTTACCAATAGGTTCGGTCGCTGCGGTCAATTGTATAAGAAGTGGGGTTTAAGCTATGGATGGGTGGTTTTTCGAGGTTTTTGACATCTCAGAGAGAAAGAGAAAAGAGAAAAGAGAGGGAGAGACGGAGAGAACAACGAAGCCATGGTTGCGTACGCCAATTATTATTATTATTATTATTATTATTATTATTATTATTATTATTATTTGGTTTTGATGAAGGTGGAGGGAAGAAGCAAACATCATGGGTTGAAGAATTTCTTGCGTGATCGATGAGAATTCTGAATTTTTGTGTTTCCTATATTAGATTTCTGGGCTCGAAAATTTTCGGCGAGTCTCCAATCTTGAATTATCGGCGGTGAATTGTGTTAAAGTTTTGACTTTCATGGGTTTTGAGTTGGATAGAATTAGGAGAAAGGGTAGAAAAGACCATTTTGCCCCTTAGATTTTAGACTAAATGTTGGATTAAATTTTTTCGGTCAAATTTGGCCGGCAATTTGGCCGGAGTGATCAAAATTTACAAAAATTACATACTCAAGGTACTGAATTGACACTTTTGAAAGTTAGGTGCTGAAATTACCAAAACCCCTATAGTCGTGTGACCAAAATTGAAATTTTCTCTAAATTGAGTATATAAACAACTTATGAAGTTAATGTATTGAGTTTATGAACATGTAGCATTTCGTTTATGTAGTTTTTACACTTAAATGCAGTTATGAATAAGTGTTTGACATGTAATTATGATTATGGTATAGTTTTAAGAGGTATTTGGTTGAAAATTAAGAAGTTTTAAACATGAGCTTAAGGTATATATTGATTTTATGAATTAGGAAAAAGTGTCGAATAGGTCACTGATGAATTTTCACACATTGTTTAATTAAATCATCGAAACAAAAGTGTGCAAATAGACCATAATTGTGTAAATAGTATTTTTTACATGTTATTTTTAAGTTTCCTTTATGATGTCTTAATGTTAAATTAAATATAAAAAATTATTTTAATTATTATTTTTAAAATTACAATTAAAATAATAAGAGATGGAAGAATTAATTATTCTCTATCCGGTATGATGCCCATCTTCTGGTACGAAAGGAGTGGACAACTCAATAAAGGAAACATGTATACCCCAAGCCCTCCAAGTTCTTAAAGAAATGCATTGAGGCCATTGACTCGGAGTTTTATGGATGAGAATATATTTTTTGTGTATTGATCAAGAGCAGCGGATAAAAAGTATATAAAAACATGAAATAGAGATCTAGTCTAATACTACTAATATAATAGAGATCTAGTCTAATACTACTAGTAGAGTCCTAATACTCCCCCTCAAGCACAAGGTTGGTCAGTCAAAACATTAAGCTTGCAACAGAGTAAATTAAAACGCACAGATGAAAGAGACTTAGTAAAAATATCCGCTATATGATCTTTGGTAGAAATAAAATTGACTTGTAATTCCTTCTTTGCGACTTTATCACGAACAAAGTGGTAGTCGATCTCAATGTGCTTGGTGCGAGCATGAAACACTGGATTAGCACACAGATAAGTAGCTCCCAGATTATCACACCAGAGTTTGGGCACAGAAGGTGGTGCAAACCCGATTTCCTTCATCAGAGAGACGAGCCAAGTAACCTCTGCAGAGACATCAGTCAGTCCTTTGTATTCAGCCTCAGTTGATGAACGAGCCACAGTACGCTGTTTTCGACAAACCCATGAGACAAGATTGGTCCCCAAAAACACAGCAAAACCACTAGTAGATTTGTGATCATCAGGATTGCCAGCCCAATCTGAATCAGAATATGCATGAATATCCAGAGAAGGAGAAGAAGTAATCTTAAGACCAAGATGTAGTGTCCCATTTACATACCATAACACCCTCTTGAGAGCCACCCAATCCGCAGTAGAGGGAGAGTGCATGTGCTGACACAAACGATTGACTGCATAGGAAAGACCAGGCTGAGTTACCGTAAGATATTGCAAAGCACATGCAAAGCTGCGATACTGAGTTAGATCAGCGTATGGTACCACGGCATCAGTCTCGGCCTTCGTGGTTGAAACCGAAGTGGCCACGGGCTTGCAATCAACCATACCTGCTCGTTTTAGAATATCCTTCATGTACCGTTGTTGAGACAGAAGCATGCCATCAGACAACGGAACTGTCTCAATACCCAGAAAAAACGAGGGCACACCCATATCACGAACTTTAAACTCAAGAGCCAACTTGTCAATAAGAGCAGTCACATGAGCCGAATCAGA